GGTAGGCATGTGACGCGTCGGCAAGTTCCTTAGCAAGTCACAAGTGGAGACTGGAGTCGCTGGAGATTTTTGCATGGTACTGTGACTTTAAATTTGAGTCGGAAAACCAATCAAGGGGAAACCAAAAAAGGGTCACTGGAGTAATTTTCCGTTGAGCATGGCAATTGAGACACTGTTCCGTTTTACCTTATCTGTCAAAAAGTGTTAAACCCAAAGTTAGTTTGGTCAAGGCCATCGAGACCAAATTGGGACATTAAATTGTCTCACGAGATTCAGACGACGAACAATGGCGCACTGGTTTCACCGTAATGTATTAAAAGCAACGTCGAATCAGAAGTTTGAGTTAAAAGTCTCCAATTCTACGGACGCCACTAGAAAGCTTTGCAGGTTAACATATTACTATCATATATTGAGCATTTCGCGATCACCACTTGACGATGATTTTTTTTGGACCGCCGGAGGCTGCAATATTCAATAATTCTCACGTGAACATATAATTTTGTTAAAAAACTCATATTTGTGTTATAATATCAGTTATTAATTATACTAGTACACACACCACGCGCGCGCGCGCGCGCGCGCGCGCACACACACACACACACACACACACACACACACACACACACACATATTTTCATGCTTTAGCATATCTAAATCTTCTTTTCTTTTTGAAAAAAAAAAATTCTTTTTTTTCTTTATATCAAGAAGTTTATGTTTTCAGTGACTTAAAGCTGTCAAGAGCTAGATTATTGGATCTAATCAGAAATGCAAATAATACTAGTGATACAATAGAACCTGCATTTCTTAGTTACCTGAGTTTGTTGTATGGATTTTTATGGGAAGTCGATCCATCCGAGGAAGAGGCTCAACATGTTGGCAGACCCAATCCTAGCAAGCTCAGAAATGTTCTCATGTTTAAGTGGACACATACGTTACTTGGTGGTGGCACATTGTAAATAATTAAAAAGATATTTAATAAAATAGTTCTAAGACCTATGAATGATTTCAAAATGACCTCTAATTACAAATTTTTTGTTAAAGCTCCAGCGCCGATTCTGTTTATGAAGCAGCTAATATGAGTGTCAATATAGGCCTATGGTTTATGAAACATGCAGCAATGATTGCTGCAAAAGATGAGTAAGTATAAATTAAACAAGATTTTAAAATAATCCTCAACGTGATTATTATATAAAAATATAGAAGAAATGTGATCTTTCTCTTCCTTTCTATTAATTATAATAGAATTCATTCATTTTCCTAATGTACATATTGTAATTATATCATAATATATATACAGGGTGTTAGTTAAGTATGTTCCCGAACTCAACAAAGCGATTCTTCAGTTTATTTCAAGTAAAAAAGTTCATATAAACATGTGTCCTAAACGGCTTAATTTCCGAAATAAATTTAAACGTATAGTAATAATCTGTTTATTTGAAAGAAATACAACTTGAACTAGTCAAAAACTAGTCAAAAACAGAAAAACAAAAACAGGCTTCAGTTCTTCTGATGAAATAAAACAATTAGATAAATTGTTGAAAATGTTCACCTTGCGCCATGATACATCCATCGAGCCTTCTTCTCAAAGATTAATATACACGCTCAAAGATACCAGGTATGTTACGTATTGCCTTGCATGAAGCAACTATTCGATTCCTCAAATCATTCTCATTCTCAATTGGGGTGGTATAAACCAATGATTTCAGATGCCCCCAAAGGAAATAATCCAAAGGATTTAAGTCTGGTGATCTAGGAGACCAAGGTTGAGTTCCTGCTGGACCTATCCTGTATTTCGGAAACTAAGTTGTTCAGGATACATGTTTATATGGACATTTTTACTTGAAATAAACCAAAGAATTGCTCTGTTGAGTTTGGGAACATACTTAACTAACACCCAAGTATGCTAAGACGAGCTGCTGGAATATTTACCTTTGTACAGACTGAATTTTTGCCGCAGTTGGATAGTCCACCACCTTTGGGAAGTGATTTAGATCCTCGTGTACTAAATGCATACGTTAATCAATGCACAGCAGAAGCACAAGAAGGTTGTGCTTTTGTGAGAATATAATTTTAATAAGTTTACTTGGATATATACTTACATTGACTCTTCATCATTTTATAGTGACAGTGGCTAGAGCAGTAGAGCTCAAACATAATTCTAGCTTGATATCAGCTTTAGCCAATGAGACCAGTAAATTGTTTCTGGATGCTGCCAATACTCTTCGTCCATTTAAGCCAGAAATAATCGCCCAATGGACGAAATATTTAGAGCTTAAATCAGCGTTTTATCAATCTTACGTAAGTTCACAAATTTATAAAAGTCGACAATCATTTAATTATAAATACAAGTGATAATATTTGTTGTACTCTTATTTATAGCTTATTTACGCTTTGTAAGCTTACTCATGCTCTAATTACTTTAGGCTTATAATTATTGCGGTGAAAACTTGTTGGCAATGGATAAGTGCGGCGAAGCGATACGAGCGATGCAGGAAAGCGATTCATGTTTAAAGAAGGCGAAAGCGCTCTGTCAAGAATACGGGAAAACAAACGGGCCTGCGCCTCGCGTTAAACCAGATCAGCACGCTGTGTTTAGACGGTTGGCGCCTATAGTGAAGCTTACTCTTGATAAATGTAATCGAGAAAATGGATTGATGTAATTATCTCATTTAGATTTATTATCAATTTATATATAATACAATACATTGTTTTAAGATGTAAGACGCTTAAACAACACATTAATCTGAATTTAAATATTAGATATCATCATACTGTACCGGGTGAAGTTCCAGTCTTGGATACTAAAGCTACTTACGGCTTAGTCAGCCCAATCGACTTTCAAATGCCATCACCAAATCCTATCTGGAATTTGGGTACATATAAAGTATTAGCCAGAGTAGCGGCAGCGAAAGCAGAGAAGGAGCAGAACTTGCCGCCAGTTAAAGAAGAGGCGATTCATCAAAGTAGCAAGGAGCCGAAAAACGCAAGCGGTTGCACGTTACAATAAGCCTCTCTATGTATAATGATATAGGCCGTTTGTAATGCTTTTTCTTTTTTTGTCACGGTGATATTAATTTTAATTGCGACAGACATGTGTGGGCGACGATTGAATTAAACATACGTGTGCGCATTGCATGCACACAAGTACAAATCCGGTTGTGTAAAACGTGAAGTATTAATTTGTTAGATAAAAAGAAGAATACAGGATAATTATCTGTTATCATAAATATTACAAACGTATTTCATTCAGTATTAAATATCGTATTATGCAACGGATAGATAAACGACTGCAAAAGAGATTAATCTAGCATATCAATGTACATCTACTTTGTTCTGCACATGTCTGAAACTTTTTAGCGGGCATCTTTTACATTTGTGTCAATGTGAAGTAACATATGTGACGCGAGATTCATATGTAATTTGCTTTTATCGTAGATGATCGATACTATGATTATCATTGTAGGTACAAGCAACTCCTTGCCGACAACAAGGAATTGTTAATGTCGCAGACATTATTTTAATCGCTACGTTTGATCTAGTCAATGCTTTAGTGGAACTAAATTTTTTTAAATTGATAATACGAGGGAGAACATTTTCGCAAATAATGTGCATGTAAAACACATTGCCAGTATGCATGTATTATAACAAAGAGGCGTATATAATCTTTTTCTACATATTTTTTATAAGCTATAGGTTTAAACGCAGAATTCAATTCAAATTTTAAAGATATATATATATATATATATATATAAAAAAGTGTCTCAAAAACATGTTAAGCTAATGCCAAGCATTAGTTATTGCTAAATTATAGCAATTATCTTTGTTAATAATTATTTTTTGTGATATGTAAAGCATTTATTATATACATAACCAGCGAGTGACCTAACAAAATTAAAAATTTACAGGTCATGGTACCTGATATTGGCTTTGAAAAATTACTTATATGTAGATAAGAAATTATGTTAGTTGTTAAATAATTTAAGAGAATAATTTTTGTGTGCAATATACCGAGATCAATGTAGCAATACTAGCAATATTCTACCTAATATAACATCGATAATAAAGAATATTAAATCACAGTCTATAAAGATCATATTTTATGTTCAGCCATTTTTTCGTATAACAATAATTATGCATGTGTATAAAACATAAACATGTAAATTTACTTATCCTCTATTTATACAACCCTTGAAAATTAAAACATATAAGTGCTACATCTTTAAATAAAACATTAACATTTTCACTATTGGCTGCGTTCAGCAGAAAAAGCAGCTTTGCAACTGTTGTAAAATTCTTGAATATGATTGGTTTATACATTTAAATCCAATGAGGAACTAAGAGCAAGACCAATCATATTGAAGAATTTTACGACAGTTGCAAAGCTGCTTTCTCTGCTGAACGCAGCCATTGATAACAATTTGAACTTAAAATGTCAGCAATGCTGATTTCAAAGTGCTTCGAATAGAGAGCTTCACAGGGAGAGAGTGGCAAATTGCATTATGTGACCCACCTCCTCTGATTGGGCATGGGCATCGAAGCTCTATAAGCATGGAAGAGATTAGAGAAAACTGGTCACGTGACCCCCATCCTGATTGGACGTGGGCATTCACATGATTCAATTTGCCACTCTCTTCCTGTGAGGCTCTCTAGTTTCGAAGAGCTGTCAAAGGTTTTAATTGGTTGGTGGATAAAGAATTTGTGGAGCTGCTCCAGGAATTTCTAGAGACTGTCTTTTCAACGACCAATCGGCGTCATGTCCGATGAAATCGGATTGGACAATGTTATCCAATTGGTTTTTCACAATTTTATTCGTGCCCGCACGTACCTAACCTGATCCTGGCCGATAATGGCATTCGATCGGATCGCGATACGGACGGGACGCGCGAATCGTTCGCTATTTCTGTTGCCCTGAAGTTGACGATGACGCGCGGCTACGTCTCGGTAATGAAATAGCGAACATCGTTGGTGAAGAGACACGTCGGTGGCAGTGAAACACTAATGCGAGAATGTCGGAACGACGTGATGATTAGATCCACCGAGATGGAGACGATGGAATAGACTTTGCGTATGCGTGAAACATAAATACATCCGTGACGAAGCAGCGTCTTGAGAACATCCAGGTCGGTGCTCGATCTCTTCCTCGGTTTGTGTCGAGTCGAGAGGTAAGAGACGGTCTGGCATCATCATTGGCACAATAATAGACCTCCCCTGAACAATTTTCAACATTAAATCATGTGTACTTATATTCACTTGCACATAATTACGTGCTCGACAAAACGGATCTATTCTCGCTCCGCGTCTTTCTTAATTATTAGATAGTATATAAATATCAAAATGTACAACTTAATAAAGCATAAGTTACATGTAAAATTAATCGTTTTATTTTATAGATTTATTAAAATTTATTAGAGACATCTTTCATTTCATAAAGTAAGTTTCAATTTGATTAATTGAGATATTCCTGCAGCAATCTAATTTTCATTAGCAAACATTCAGTATTTATATAGATATGAATAAATATCATTTTTCTTCATTCAATCTCGTATATGCATATAATTAATGCTGGACTATAAAGTCCTAAGCTCTTAACTTTTTAGTCTCAATTTTTTCTTAATACTTGGTTATTCTCATCTATTTTCTAAGCAGAACAGGAAATAAAAATGGAGGAAAAACATGGCAATAGAGATACGACAGAGGAAGAGGAGTTGGAAGACACTGAAAATATAATAATTAACGAAGTGGATGGTTTACCCAACTTACATCCAAACTATGAACAGTTAGAGTTGAAATTTAAGAGAGAAAAAGATGACACAAATATTAGATCGATCGATGAGTTAGTTCACGATGAAGATCTACCAACTTCTGTAATTGTAACGAACGTAGATCCTCGAGTTTTTAAAGATGACGATTTAAAGGTAATAAATAGTTTGTATGAGATATCCCAAAGAAGAAACTGTTATATTGTCTGATATTGTACCTTTACAGTCATCCATAGAAAATCTTTTCAAACAGTTTGGAGAAGACACTACATTTCAATACTTCAGATCCTTCAGAAGAATGAGGGTAAACTACAGTTCCCCCAGTGCAGCAGCAAATGCGAGGATACAGCTGCATCAGTCGCATTTTGGAGAAACTGATATTAATTGTTACTTTGCACAACCAGTAACACCTATAGGTACGTCATTATGGAATTTTAGAATTAAATATCACACTGATGAAATTAATAAGATGCAAAAAATTTACATATTAATGAAATATGAAATATAAATTGTAGATATGGAGGATCAACATCTTCAACCACCCGCGCTTACCAAACAATTTCTCATATCTCCTCCTGCTTCTCCACCGGTCGGTTGGGAGCCACGTGAAGAAGGAGAGCCGCTCGTTAATTACGATTTATTAACAGCTATAGCCAATTTATCAGCAGGTTATTGATTCTTATTATTTTAAACTTATACCAATTTCGTATTTTATATAAATAATTATCGATATTGCAGGCGACACACATGAGATACATCCAGGAGGCTCAGGGCAGCCAGGCATAGTCGTGCATGTTTGCGAAAACGCGAATCCGTCGAAAAATACGCCTCGTATTCAACACACGCGATGTCCGGAACATTAATTTCCTCCGTTTATTCGCATCTCGGATTTGTCACATGATACGTTTTTATGTCTTGTTAAAAAGCCAGATACGAGCTAGAAGACATATACACCTAACGAGCGATTTTAATTAGTATTATATTGGAGTTACAATTTAAAAATGCGTGGTTGGTATCCAGTTGACGAAAGTATGTTGTAAAAAAAAATTATAGCTCAATACGTACAGACAGCAACATGGTATCTGGTAGAGTCCAACCGAAACCACATTTTTCCCTCCGGCCAAAACCAAAAACGAAACCGAAACTTAGATGTCTTATTTAAAAAAAAGCAAAAGAGAGAAAGAAACTAATGGAGTCATTTTTTTCGACCGGAGTCGAAATTGATATTTTTGGATTAATTTTACAGAGGCCGTATAATTTTCAGAAATCATGACAAATGTATGTACTCTAGTTGTTTTTTAAACGTTCACTGGCGCGTTGCAACTTGTATAGTTCCGGTTTACCCACTGAAATTTTAGCGAGTTTTTGCAATAACATCCAGAACACTAAAGTCACGTTATCCTTTTCTTAATTAGTTGTTAAGAAGAAGACAACGTGACCTTAGCATTCACCATATCTGGATAAACAGTATTGCAAAAATTCCCTTTTCTCTTAATTTTGGCCAAAACCGAAATCAAACTGAAACCCTGATTTTTGAACGAAACCGAAACCAAAATTTCGGTCGGATTCTAGTGCCTGGTATCTAACTTCCCGCGAATAGCAGCGATATATGAATATTAACGATACTAACGATAAATATCCGTCAGATTATATATCGATCAAAATATAGAATTCATTTGTGTTTATCCACTGAGAATTCCTGAAGAGTATGCTTGCGCTCCATTTCTTAAAATCTACATGGTAAAGATTCGAGAAATTTCAAGGCCTATATTGTTTCATGTTTCACTCAGTGTCAATAATTGCATATCGTGAGAAATTACGTCCGATCTGATTAAGCTAACGATTAATGTGTCGACAAAAATCGTTGGAAATATATTGAGATTTTGCAATTCTACCTCTCATTGTCAGTGTTACTTGTATTCTTAAACAGCACGTAACAATCTTGTTGTAAATCCACAAATGATACTAATGTTAGAATAATCGATTGAATCAAAATGTTCGAATTTAACAGCTTAACTTCATTATTTAATTATTCTCATGTGTTTTTCTTTCCATTTCAAGAAAAGTCTTCAAGATTATATCTATTGAATTTTTTGTTTTGTGTTTTGTGTGCATGCGAAAAACAAATCTACGGAAATATATGGCATTAATATGTATGTGATGTGTGTGTATACGAATGTATTATTCTAAAAATATCGTGTGGTTCTTCGATCTGTGTTTCCGTAGAAAGCTAGCTCACATTAACTTAAACGTTACACATGCTATCCTAAAGCTATATCTCTATGGTCTCTTGTTAATGAAGTTTATGAAAACTTATTGTTATCACTTTGCTCTTTAAGAGGATTAAGTTAGTAAAAAAATAAGCTAGAGAGATAGCGAGACGTATGTGGTCATATCAGCGTTACTGATTTATGTCGAGGCAGTGTGATGATTGTGTATATGTATATATTGTTCTGTACGTGAAACGTATATAATTCCTGCAAGATCTGTGACCTAAAAATAATTGTTGAATATTTATAAATACTTTATAGCAGCACTTACTTTTGTATAGTATGGTTACTGTTTATATTCTTCTGGCGATGGAATGGCGTAAAACCGTTTCGTCATTTATGTAATTTCAAGCTTTCTTTATCTAACAATTCCGAAGATCCTAAACAGATAATACGAATAATTATTACACTAGAGAAATAATGTACAAATGATTTGTATCAAAGAAAAGAAAATATAAATATATAAATTATTTTACGTTAAAATTCTGTTATATATTATATATGTACACATACATATATATATATATATATACTTA